TCCACGGTCTGAGTTTAATATGATACAGCACGCACGTGCTAACCATTCGACCATCCAACCCCCCTAAAATATACCAGTACCATTTAATGGGATGCAATGTCTCAAAAAGTTGTTACTAAGTTTATATAATTAAACAAATACAGCAAACTACAAAGTTATGATAATACTTTTCCAATTATTAAAATATCCACGGTCTGAGTTTAATATCCTTTCTAACTCAGACCAGAACGGCTTAAACGTGGCAAGAGCCACATACTTCTTGATAGTTCTACATAAGGTTCGCGCTAGGATGATGTGTTCCCCCTAGCCTCTAAGCCGGGGAGGCTATGGGTATGTTCCCCTTGAGCTCCGAATAATGTCTTCCCTACGGACTCATCATGATATCTGAAGGTAAATCAAACCATATCTCTCCTATAAAGAAGTATAATGCGGCAGCTATTAGGGCGGGACAATTACCGTTTTACGTTACCACTATTCTAGTTAATTGTACTAATTCGTGCACGAGATGACTGGACTATAGTACCCTACTTCCAGCAATGGATACTGACATAACTGTCGGTGAGTTAGTCTAAGATAGTAGTAGAATAATACAAGCTATTTCATTACCCTAGTTTTCGTCACACATCATGTAGGTAACGAAATTCTATATTAAACAGAACACCTTTCTTATAACTAAAATAAACCCTATAGTATTACATTAACAGTGGGAACAAACCGGAGGACCCGTAGAAAACCCACGAGGTTGGACAGGCGATACTATATATATACTCTTTGTCACGTATACTACAATCAGGGAATTGAAACCACGAAACTTGACTCAATGACAGACCTTATGAAGCATCGTACATGCTTTAACACAACCCACCCCACCCAAAATATACAGACATCACAAACAACCAGAGGCGTAGCCGTGAAATATATATTGGGGGGGGGGGGTCCGCAAATGAAATTATATAAAATGTTGACAATCACAATCACTGGGTGGGGGGGGCATCCCGATAAAATATTTTTAAAGTTTCAGTCTTCTGTAAACACAGTTTTGGGATATTTTACGGGGTTAAACTAAAACATCACACCAATACAATGTTTATCATGTTTAAGTCAGGGGGTGCCGTATTCATAGTTTTTCCATGACTTTTACATATTGAATGTTACGTTTGAGTTAAAGAACAAGACAAAGAGAGTTTAGTAGGGGAATTTTTATGAGGAGGATCCAAATGAAACAAAACTTGATCACATAACTTTAGTTTATGAGGATGCATATTTGACAATCACCTTGTTAACTACAATACTATATACATATACACATTGACATTTACAAGAAAGTTGTAAAGATATTTACAGTATTTTGTACATTTTGTGTATTATAAATGGATTTCAAAAAGTAAACATAAGTGTTTGTGTTTTAATTTGTACATTGTTTTATACAGGTAGAATCTTAACTAATCTTAATAATTGTTGTAAATAAATAGGAGTTAGGGCCTACTATGTAATTTTTATTTTTTATTTTTTTTTTTTTGGGGGGGGGGGGAGTCCAAGTATATTCAGACCCCCCCCCCCCCCGAAAAACAATTTGGGGGTCGGACCCCCCATGTGTGACGCCCATGCAAACAACAAACAACATCTGATCAAATATTCGGGATATTCCCCTTCTATATATTTTGGCATTGTTTGTTTACCTCACTAATTAATTTAGTCGCCGATGCATAATTTTGAGATCGACTGCAGTGACTGCACTTATTTTGAGAACGACATTTTTTTCCCAGGGAAGGGGGTGCACATTTACGCCCCCTGGGTAGAACATTCACTAAATATTATCGTTACTAGTCATTTTATGAACCCGAGGACAATCTGACCCACTGTGTTGTTTATTTGTCATATTAAAAGTCTGATCAAATCCAGGTTTTATTTATTTAGAACACGTGGCTATTCTTTTTGTCTAGTATAAAATATCAGGCCGCAACTTAATGTAGACGGTATTACCAAGACGCTGGATATAAAATTCCTAGTTACCGGTATTGAGAGAGAGAGAGAGAGAGAGAGAGAGAGAGAGATGGGGTTTAACGTCCACTCGACACAAACTAGGTCATTTCATTTCATTTCGCAAACAGGGCTAGCGCTAATCCCAACCCTATCCCTGGACCTAGCCCCAATGCTTACCCTAAACCTTACCTACAATCTCGCCAATAATCACGTGTCCTAACCTTATTTACATGTCAGCGACCTTGACAGAAATTGAGCTGTCCTTAACAAAAAGAATTAGCCTTATATATGAAACTGTATGTATGTTCGGTTTTACAATTTATTATATTTAATCTTATCTTTAAGAACAGTCCTGATCGTCTAGGGGTTGGTTTTTCTCTGGACTGGCTACTTTTGTATCTCTTTTCTTAAGGACTTCACCATTGTCTTTTCTCACCATACCGAAATCAAATAGGTAACAGGAACAACGATAGTGTTTTTGCTAAACGCTTTTATGTCACAACAGTTACAAAGTAGTCTATATTACAATATTTAAAATTAACGTGTCTTTCTCTCCAACTCTAGTCCAGTAAAAGTCTAACCAGCGTGGCTAGACCCAGGAAACCACTACATCGTGAAATGGCCGTCTAAAGAACCCGATGCGTGGCTGTCCATTCTAGCCCTCGCTCCATCTTATCTATAGGTGCCTATTCTTTTGTCTGAGGTGTTAATGTAAAACACTGATAACAGCTAAGTTCCAAATATAGAATGGACATGCACCCCAATCTGGATATTGACCGGGATTATTACCTAATTTGGTCAACAAATATGATATAAGTTTTATAACAAAGAAATATGTAAATGACCAACAATGGCAACATGTTCATTAATCTATAGCTCAGTTAACGTATCAAAATAACCAGCATATACTTTCTATATTTTTGGTTAGGAAGTTAGAATCAATTAATATGAAAGATAGTACTATTGTGTCAGCCATCATTTTCCCCATTCCTTGTTTCTAGACCCCATGTCCTGTTATTGTCACAAAAGATAACACTATTGTTTCCGTCTTATGGTTTGGATGCAGATAAGGCTGGTGTGGCGTCAGACAGAGTAAGCTTACTCTTCCGGACATCTGTTTGTCGTGTATTTTGTATACGGTGAACAGTCCATTGATTACACTATTTTGCCTACACCGTTTTTTAGGACTTGGAATTTTGTCTAATGGTTTGGTTTGTCCGTACATGGTTTTATTTTATTTGTATTCTTTACTATTTTTTGGGAAGCCACGGTGGCTAGGTGGTTAAGACGCTGGCTTCTCGTTGAAACGCCTATAGGCTTTGCCTGTCGTTCAATCCTTTTCAAATGAATAAAATACTAAAAACACTTCTATGGATATGCTTGAAAACGTTGAGAGAATACTCTTCGAAACGTCGCCCAAATAAATCAGTAATTGTTCTTCCATAAGTATGTGTTATAATTTATTGATATTCTACTTCTGAATTTATTAAAATGGTACGTTTCAATACGAATCGTATATATAGCATGTTAATACATTCAGAAGTAGTGTATCCATATAAGTGTTTTCAATTTGTGAAATCTACCTCTATATGTCTTATAAGGATTATAGAATAAAATATTGTTTCAACTATATGTCTCGGATTTTGAATCCCTTGCAGGCTGGGGAATGCTCACTAGTGCGCGGGTTCATTAGTCCACCGATATCTATGATTAGGGTTAGGGTTGGGTTAGGGCTAGGGTTCATTAGTCCATCGATATCTATGATTAGGGTTAAGGTTGGGTTGGGGCTAGGGTTCAATAGTCCACCGATATCTATTATTAGGGTTAAGGTTGGGTTAGGGCTAGGGTTCAATAGTCCACCGATATCTATTATTAGGGTTAAGGTTGGGTTAGAGTTAGGGTTAGGTTTATTGATACCCATATTTATAGTATTTCTTATATAGCAGCGGACTAGTGCCCCCGCGTACTAGTGAACCCCTATCTGCAGGCTACTATATTGTCAAAATTGAATCTCTAAATATATCATTCCAGAAATGACCCAAACCTGTTCAATTACAAAGAGATGATGAATTGAAAATTCAGCACCAACTGAAGACGAAATTAAATTTTTTTTCCACCCGCACCCTCCAAACTTCACACCCAACATTTACGTTAAAATACCTTTCTACGATTGCCATATATGTTATTTTAAGATGTTAAACTGGAAGTAGAAATCATGGATCATGCTCCCTGCATTTATACTGTCGGGTATAAAGGAGCTAAGTCTCTATAACTCAATATTTTCAACAATATTCTAAATTACAAACACAAATTAGGTTTCAATATTGTTCCATTTCAATCCATATTGGTGTTGTTATGTTGCCGTGAAAATGTGGGATCCTAATATCCAATATTTTAGACACGAAAATAATTAATGAACTTTTTAAAATATCGTTTTGGGTGCAAAACCAATGAACAAAGAAAAACATCTTAAATTACAATGCGGCAGTAAATAGTAATGACTGATTCACAAATGATAAAATAATAATAATAAAAAAAAACGTGAAAAATGGGCTAATTAGTTATAAACGATGGTCGTTCAGTTTGGACTGTTTGCGTATTTCACCGAACATAATTGATTAGAAATTACATTTTTTTTAAAAATTGATTATAAATCCCTTTATATACACTCATGTTACATTAATAATGTGCCTTTAGACCCATTTATTGTTTTAAAAAAATAAAGCAATACGCCCTGTCTTAGGTCATTGATAATATAAACGTTCCACTTCAGGAAATACTTTTAACAATAAATTAATGAGGAGACTATTGCAGAGCTTTATTTTGTTATAAAATTCTATGAAATATTAAAGATCAAAATATTGCGGGAACAAATCTCACAATTCAATCGAATCACTTTGTTAGCTAGAGACTAGCGTATTATTCTGATTCGATAAATTTTTTAGTGTCTGGTAAATCTCGGCTATCGTGCATAGCCACGCCCACCTCCAACTCTTCAGCGTCAGAGGCGAAAATGGTGCCAGTTGAGCATGGCCGCTTCTCGGATAGGATCATGGAAAAGAATTTGTCTCCGTTACAAGTATTTCTTTTATGCTGCTTTTATCGTGTGTGTCTTCCAAGTGTTTTTAGCTTACAGTTTTTATAAAGTAAATTTATCGGATAAAGAGAACAACGAGAATGCGGGCCCTCAATCCTCTCAAAGTGACAGTGGAAAATTTGACAGTCGTTTGACAGGATACAACGACTATCTAAAAGCAAAACAACAAAACCAAAATAAGGTGAGTGACGTCTTTATTTCGCACATAGACACGACATATTTCTACTTCATCAATGAAATGTTTTTAGAGGGGTTGATGTGGTCAGTTGTTCATTGATTATACAATTATATTTCTTGACACGAAATACTTTCAGTGGATTAACGACATACACGTTGACGTATAGCTATATATGAGTATGACACAACGATCAGGAAAAGGACTGCATACGCTGCATTGATATTGTGATTACATTTCAGACTCCCAAAAAAATATGGCCTCAACGTTTCGGATTCGGTTAGGTGACATTTCGGACTCGGGAAGATGACGTTTCGGACTCAGGAATAACTGTCAAATCAATCTATAAAGTTAATTTAGAAATCCCAATCAGTATAGCCAGTATAGCCTCATGTACTTATTTTTGAAAGGCTTCCAATTTATAATCTTTGATTCCGCACTTATACATGATAACCAGGAGTAGGACTGCCTGTCCAACCTCATGATAGGTTTTTCTCCGGTTTCCTCCCACTGCTAAAGACCCTTATGCACAAGCGAATGTTTGAAATAAAATTGAACCATATGTTAGTCCCGAAATGTCCTAATTTGTGTTGACGGGCATTAAATATCATTTCTCTCTCTAATTAAGGATGTGAATTGAATTGTAGTCATATGTCAAAAGGAAATGAAATGAAATGGGGTTTAACGTCCTGGGCTAATGAAGACGGGCATACGCCATACAGTGTGCTATGAGGGAAATTTTGCCCGGGCAGCGGCACTATCGCCTACTCTTATATCGAATTCCAACTGCCAAGGGATCTTTTACTTGCATTCTAATGTATACACGGGACCTCGGTTTTTCAAAAGGGATGGGTAGTCTACATTAAAGATACATTATGGAGGATTCGATACCGAGTTGGCAGTTCTCACTATAATAGTTAAAAACTAGATAATGTAAAGGCAATTTGCTGAAAATTTCATTCAAATTGATCCACTATGAACCGAGAACTAAGCGATTGAAACTTCTGCCTAGCCTCGATCATCATTACTAAAGTCGGTATGATCTGTTGGATCAAGTTCGGTCGTTGAGTCAAATGGTGTGGTTTCGATTCCCTGCTTGTATGTGACAAGGAGTAGGGTTGCCTGTTCAAGTTCATGGGTTATCTCTGGGTCCTCCGGTTTCCTCCCACTGCTACGCACAAGCAATAATTGAAATAAAATTGAACTATACGTTAGTCCTGAAATGACCTAGTTTGTGTTTATTGGATCTTAAACCCTATTTCTGTTTCTCTCCATAAAAGGGGGACACTAAACCCCATACATGTATGATATGATTAATGGACAATAAATTAAAAGTTTTTAATGAACAGGAATTGTCTTAACAATTACTTCAATTTTAAGTGGTTTTCACGTCGGAAAATACCGATGAACTTTCATGGCCAATGCAGGGATCGAACACGCAACCTCCAGGCTAGTGAGCTAGCGGCTTACCCACTTAGCCACTGTGGCTTCTTGAATGGTTAACGCATGCACATTAAATAATAAGTGTGTCATAATTAAAGTGGAGTGGTTTCAATTTCCCTTTAGTAGGAATATGGTCATCTGTGTTTCAATTTCCCTTAAATAGTAGAAATAAGGTCATCTGTGTCCAACCTCGTGGGTTATCTGCGGGTCCTCCGGTTTCCTTCCACCGCTAAAGACCCCTATATGTAAGCGAATTATTGAAATAAAATTGAACCATATGTTAGTCCCAAGATAACTTGATAAATCGAGAATATGTGGGTGGTGTTATTGTCTGTCAATCAAACGATTGGTAATTCCTCGCAACAGTTGTGGAAACAGTTGATGCCTTCATGTATTTCTAGTCCAAACCTTCCAACGGTGACAACTTCGTTCAGCATAAAGTAATTTATCTTTAAGTATTATGACAAAATAAGAATTTTTTTATGAACAATATTTTATCCTTGGAAAAGATTTGAGGGACAGGCTACATGTAGGTCTATCCCGAAATAATTTAAACATACATTATGCAAGAGCTAAATCTGTCTATTGCAGGTCTTTCTTTAGGCCTGAAATGTTATCTAAATTATTAATTAGACATAATTAACTCTAGATGGCATCGCTAACCTGCGATCTTTAGTGGATTATGAGCCGATTTACTGCCTAACTTACTTCACAATTTAACGATTAAATGGATAATCGAGACTATGCTGTTTATCGTACTGACTTTAGTAATGATGATCGAGGCTAGGCGGAAATTTTAATCGCTTAGTTCTCGGTTCATGGTGGATCAATTTGAATGAAATTTTCAGCAAATTGCCTTTACATTATCTAGATTTTAACTATTATAGTGACAACTGCCAACTCGTTATCGAATCGCCCATAATTTATCTTTAATGAATATTCGAGAATACTAATTGCGGTAATCTGATTGACTTCAGAGTTATTTTTACCTTTAAAGCAAGTAAAAAAATGCCATTCCATTTTATAAACTCCAATGGTTTGCAGTGACAGCAATGGCTTATAAATTGGATCAGTCAAATCAATTATTCAAACTGTCACACCACCCAGTGACGACCCTGGCTTCCTAAATTTCATCAGTCAAATAAATTTCCCAAATCCAAGGAGTAGTAGGCCAGGCCAAAAAAACTTGTACCCATGTAATCAAATAAAACTTTATTATAATACACAGGGCTCTGTCCAGCCGCTTGGGTTTTCTTCGGGTCCTCATGTTTTCTTGCACTGCTAAAGACCCCTATGCGCAAGCAAATTATTTAAATAAGTTAGTTCCGAAATGACCAAGTTTGTGTCAAGTGGACGTTAAACCCCACTTCTCTCTCTCTCACAGGGCTCTGACATAGGCATTTTGCCTGTTCCCCAATCTCCCATTCACGAAATCTTAACTAGAGATCAAATCAAAATTTTAGTAGATACTTCAATCTAATATTATCCAATCAAATTACTAAAATTTGGATTTTATCTTAGTTAAAAAATTTGTGAAACAGGCCCCTGAAATGTTATCTAAATTATTAATTAGACATTAACTAACCTATCCAGACCATAATCAACTCTCGATGCCATCGCTAGCCTGCGATATTTACTGGATTTGAATCCATTTTTTGATGGATAATCGAGACTTTGTTTAGTAACGATGATCGAGGCCAGGCCTAACATTCAAAAGCTAATATCTCAGTTCAGAGTGGAGCAATTTGACTGAAATTTTCAGCATATTCTCTTCACGTTATCTATTTTTTAACTATTATAGCGAGAACTGTCAGCTCTTCATCCAATCTCCAATAATGCCCATTTAAGAAATAACTACCCAGAAATGAATATAAGAGAATGGTACTGATTAGAATATACGGGTACCATTAAATGGGGTTTAACATCCACTCGACACAAACTAGGTCATTTCGGGACTAACATACAGTATGGTTTAATATTTTATTTCAATAATTCCCTTGCGTGTACTGGTCTTTAGCAGTGGGAGGAAACCAGAGGACCGGGAGAAAACCCACGATGTTGGACAGGCGACCCTGCTCCTTGTCACGTACAACCGGGGATTCGAAACCACGCCAGTTGACTCAATGACAGGCCTTATGATACAGCACGCACATGCTAACCAACCCCCCTAAAATATACCAGTACCATTTAATGGGATGCAGTGTCTCAAAAAAAGTGACCTACAGACTTTTCTCCCGCCATTAAAACTGTTAAAACATAAAAAATACGCCCTTATCCGATCGACTAAAACGAAGAAATTATTTTATCGCCATGTCATACTTTTGTTCGAAAGTACAGTAATTCCAGAGAACAGACAAGTAAATTTATTTTAGGAGAACAGAGTTTGATATTGGAGACATTTAATGAGAAGAGGAGATGGTGATTATATATATATTATGTTGTTTCGACTGATTAACAGGTGCTTTCCCCCTGGGTTACGAGTAAATTTATTTTAGGAGAACAGAGATTGATATTGGAGACATTTAATGAGAAGATGGGGATTGTATATATATATGTGCTGTTTCTACTGATTAAAATAAAAGTGGTTTACCGCTGGGTTATGAGAATTTGATAGTCTCATTTACGAACATGAATTTTTTATGCACGGCACTTTAGCCGTAATACTTAGCCTTAATCAGAGAGAGAGAGAAATGGGGTTTAACGTCCACTCGACACAAACTAGGTCATTTCGAGACTAACATATGGTTCAATTTTATTTCAATAATTCGCATGCGTGTAGGGGTCTTTAGCAGTGGGAGGAAACTGGAGGACCCGGAGGAAACCCACGAGGTTGGATAGGCAAAACTACTCCTTGTCATGTACAACCGGGAAATCAAAACCACCGGTCTCCTACCACTGCTAAAGAAACCTCTGTGCAAGTGAATTGATTAAATAAAATTGAACCATATGTTAGTCCCAAAATAACCTAGTTTGTGGCGAGTGGACTTGCACCTTCTCTCTCTCTCTCTCTCTCTCTCTCTCTCTCATACATGTTGGTAGGAATAAAATAAAGGTCATTGGTCGTATAGGTTAGCAGTTCAGAAATGTACGTCTATCAATAAGGTGAAATCATAGATCACAAATTCTTGCTTTTAAGAGCACCTGTTTTTTTTTTTTGAAAAACAACATCTTTTACTGACCAATTAAAATTACGTTAAGAAAACATGACTTTCATAAAATAAAAATATATATCAGTACATATATATGTACAGTACATGCATGTACATACTCCTTGTTCAAACTAAAGCATTCTCGTCAAGTTTGCTGAGAGGTCTGGGGGATTACCTGATAATTTGATAAAATCAGAAGTTCTGAGTCAATATTTCTGCTCATTTAGATGCATACATCGCATGTTTGTTTGTTCGATGTTGTTTCAATGAATTTAGAAGAAAAAAAACCCAAATATGCTCTATGCGAGCTGGGGAGGATCCAGACCCCCAGAACACTGCCCCTCTGGACATGCACATGCTCTTTTTCTCATGATGCAGTTTGTCAAGATAAAATTGTCTCGTATGTCTGTGAAC